CAGCTCTGATCTGAGTAATCATGACTCTCACAGCTTTCAACATCATACAACCTCAATGTTATCTCAACAGTGCTCCTACACGCTGAAACACGAGTTTGATAAGTCCTGCCCAATCATCTTACACAGTCACTTCTTGATTTTTCACACACCAAACTTTCCCTATCAGCAGGTGATCAGAGGAGAAACACCAGCGTCATGGGTTTGATTCCTAGGGAACTGAAAAGATATGCCAAAAGCATCAGTGTAAATGTAAATAAGCCGGCCTAATGGACCAAATCATTTACATTGATGCACGTGGCAGATGCTTTTATTCAAAGCGACTTATACTGAATTCATGGTTAACATTTGATCAGTTCATGCATTCCCTGGAAATCAAACCCATGATTTTGTTGTTGCAAATGCTATATAATCTACGGGAATGCCTGCAATAACAGTCACTAGTTTACTGCAGCATGTGAACTTCCACGGAAGTCTATATCACAGAAGACTGTTGGTAAAGGCTTTGAGTTTGAAGCATGTCATGAACTTCTGCTGTACAGCGTCACACGGTCAACACACATGTGCGATGTAAATGAACGAAACCTGCTGTTATGAAACAGGCGTGTGTGAGAGATAGAGTTTCAGGAACTCTCCAGTGTGTGGGAACACACTTCACCTTCAGTGTTCATTTCGACAGCAAATTTGGACTTATGTAGCTGCCAGTAGTTTACTGTATTTAACAGTGAAATTTTTTTTACAGTAGGCTATGCTACAGTTCAAATGTTGGCATCTGATCTCCTAACCACGCTGTAGATTCGATCTGACTGGATCTCTTCCCAAATCGTCCCTCCCTAAATGTCAATAGATTTTTGTCATAGTTTTTGTCATTCAAAACGAGTTTTTATTTTGTTATCATCTCGTTTTTGTCGGTGAAAAAATGTTGACGAAAATTATTTGTCAACAAAATTAACACTGCTCACCTTCAGCATCAGTGAGATTCAGACGCGCGTTGATGTCACTTCCACTCTGAAATACACACACACACACACACACACACACACACACACACACACACACTCAGAGCTAGATTAGTGGAGCTGTCAGTGGCAGTGCTGTTATTATTGTTAACTACAACTAAAACTACTAAAATTTATTTTCATTAACGGAAGGATGAAAAAAACGAAATATAATGCTGCCTAGTGTGTGTTTGTGTGTTAGTGTGTGCGCGTTTTTGTGATATATAAGGACACAAATTTGTATAATGACAAAGGTATGACATAGGTATTACAAGGAGAAGGTGACTTATGAGGACATTACCCCATGTCCCCATTTTTCAAAACGCTTATAAATCACACAGAATGGAGTGTATTGAAAATCTGAAATAGCACAAAGTTTCCTGTGAGGGGTA